TGCAAAGCGGAGCTAGCCGGTCTCATTATTCATGTTAGTATATTAGGTTGAACATGGCGGATTCATGGCTATAACGTCGTGGTCACTTGCTCTGCGTCAGTCGTACTCGGGAACCGGGATAAGTGGGTCCTGGCGCCGCATCCGTTCATATACGCAGTATCCCGTTCTGCTACTCGGCATGACATATTGGGGATCACCACGTCTTCGATGCCTCTTGTTCTCAAGACACCTGGCTCTGCATTCGGGATTTTGCCGTTGTTTCTCCCGCTTAGCAGCGAGTGTCTCCTCACGAAACGTAGCCTCCTCGTGGGGAGTACGTATACCTTCGCATGGCGACCTATGACAGCAACTGTCTGGGCGCTCCGGGATTTTTTTTAGTACTTAGCTCGGGCGTGGTATAGCTGCGCAGTTGTTGCCCGCTGCATGCGCGGCTCGACATGACGTTACTCCAATTGGCACGTAGCGATGCTCTACTTTAAATGAGTGCTCCGGAGTGGTCGGCACGCAGCTAACTACTGCAACGCACGCGCGGCTTGACATGAAGTCACACCAGCTGTGTGAGGTGAGGGGTCGCTGGGCAACAGCGCATCAAAATTTTTGCAAGATCGGGTCGCACACAATAGGGCTAGCTTAAACAGCTTCGCTGTTGAAATAATTAGCCAATTCCGCGCTGTGGTAGCCGTCAGACCGTTAAGCTGTTTCCGCTTTCTTTCGTCTCTTCAACTATCTTCTTTGGTTTTTCCTAATTATTTCTGGCGTAGGGGGGGGGGGGGGGGCAAAAATGATACAAAAATGTGAAAATAGTGATTATAAATTTGTATTCCACTCGTTACCATTAAACATTGATGCAGAAAGTTTTACTAGGGTATATTGCACGTCCTGCATGAATATGACCATGTTGCCACAGTTCGAAAGTTTATTATAAAAAGAAATTGGAAAAGAGACAACAGGCGCCTCATTTTCCCCTACCTGTGGCGCAAGCCGAGACAGTGTGAAAAAAAAATTGTGTTCAGCTGTTCCAATATATGCACATGACATTCACTCTATTGGTTTTTACGCAGTCCTCATAAGCCCTGTTTTTGCACTCCTTGCATTCAATCCAGACAGACACCAGCTCTCCGTCGCTCTGAACGCCTAGCAGACCAAGCCCCTCAAGTCTTTCTTCGTGCGAATGTTGCCTATTTTTTACGCTTGCACTACATTGGAATATATAACGATTGAAATCTAGACATGTTAATTCTGTCACCTCTCCCTCACCTCTTTTTGCCGTTCTGACGCAGAACTACACGAGAGCTTTGTCGCTTTCAACTTTGTCACCTGAGTTTTGGGAAGCGATAAATTTTAATTTTTTCTCGCCTAATATCTTTAAATACTGGTATCAAATAATTTTGTTAAAGCTCGATTTCACAACGTGTTTTTGAATGACTTGTGTTCCAATTTTTCATGTAATTTTTGAGAGCACTCTTTGAAACACGGAACAACCTCAACGCAGCGAGAATGAAGTGAATCCTGTCCTTGACAATAATCAGTGCTTTTTGATTTAGTTTTTCTGCCAGGCAGCTCTATATGATATTCTCTTGTACGTCCGAACCATCCTTAATAAACATATAAAACATATGACTGTGGGTAAATGGTTCACCCAAAGAAAACTATCCTCCATAACCGGTATAGCTTGTCCCCAAAAAGCTCGTTCATCCAGTTGAACAGATACTCGAACTGGTTGATCAGTAACAGTAATGGAGGTTATAATCCTGAATTGACAGGGATAAGAACGGCAATAGAACATTTCTCCCTCTGTACATTCAGCTCTATGAGCTCAAAACTAGAACGAATGTAATCATTTTTTGATTAGCTTTATAGTGCCTATGTTTTCTGAGCTTTTGCTTAACAATTCTAATAACCTGCTGAATAGTTTCTTACGGACACATTATCCTTCGGCTTCAGGTGCAACCTCAAAGGGAGGATGACTTTATATACATTACGCCAACATTTCGACGGGAAGTGAGGAATTCCACTTTGATGGCATATTCGGGCTGTCGTTAGTATCCTCTCCAGCTGTGCCACGACGTGAGAGTAAACTAGCTTTAAATGTGTGTAGCGATTCCAACCAGGCATAGAACTGATTATGATCCCTTACTATTGTAGTGGGCAGCGTGCTTTAGCACTTAAGCATGCATGAAAAGACTGACTCAGTGAAGCTTGGATATCATGGCTGTGACACCGGCTCAGTTTTCGACACGTTTTCGACGCTCTACATTACTTTTCGCACCTAGGAATGCCAGTAACACAACGTCTCGTCACCTCCCGCTACCTTTGGCCCCGTGTGGATACCGATGTCCATTACTGGACATAATCGTGTATCCACTGCCAGCGCGTTAAGGTCAACAAGCACACTGTGACCACACCGGGTCATTCTTCCCTACCAGGCGTTCGTTTTGGTCATATTCACTTTAACATTGTGGGTCCACTACCACCGTTCGCGAACCAATGCCACTTGAATTGACTGATCTACCCAATTGCCGGAAGCAATGCCACCAAACAACATCAAAACAGATTCTGTTGTGCCGGCTCTCATTCAAACATCAGTCATTCGGTGTGGTGTGCCACACACCATAACGACAAACCGAGGTAGAAAATTTGAATCGTCCTTCTTTCGGGCTGTCTCTCGTCTTCTAGGCGTAACACACATCATACGAACTACAGCTTACAACCCCAGTTTGAATGGCATGGTAGAACGCTTCCTCCATCAACTGAAGGCATCATTGCGTGCGCAAGACTCAGCAATTCTATGAATAGAGCACCCATTTTTGGTTCTACCATGTCTTTGCACCACGGTGAAAGACGACACACAGTGTTCATCCGCAGAGCTGGTCTTCAGCACAACACCTCACGTACCCGGCAGGTTGTTTGCCTCAAAAGCGACATCAGCTAAGGTACACTCGTATGCCGACCACCACGAACTTCAATGACTACCGTTGTACCATTGCCGTTTCGTCATGATTGCAAGACCGCTTATATGAGTCCGTAATTATTTTATACCAGCCGTGCATTCATTCGTCCTGCTTCTACGCGTACTAAATTACAAACGCTTTACGATGTCCTTTTAAAGTCCTCAAGCGCGATCCCAAGTACTTCACCCTCCTTGTCAACGGAAGCGGAGAGACGACTTCTATACGACGCTTGAAGCCAGCTCACGTAGACACTGAAAACGCCATTTCAAGCAGATAAACCACTCGATAGCAATGCCTTCATTGCTAGGGGGAGGGGGTGGGTAGCCATGTATTCGGCAGTGTGCTTTGCGTCAACGAAAAAAAAAACTAAGAGACTGAAAAGTTCCGACATCATGGCTGTGACATCGGCTCAGTCATCCGATAAATAAATGACTATTTATTTTGAGTGCTCTGCTACCACACTATAGTAATAGTGAAGCTTACTTATGATAAAATGGTGGCCTGTAGCTTTGAGTCCTTTGAGATAGACCACATAAATATACCGTAGAAGTGAATGGCCTGTTCTATGGGCAAGAATTACTAGTAAACATAGCAATTTTTCTTTAGTGATATCTTTTTAATGAGTTTATGAAGTGCTTACAAGCCGACAGCGGCTTGAAATGCATCACACCTTCAGCAGTCAGGTTTCCCAGAATCTCATTTTTACTTAAATGCGATTCTATTACCCTAACGTAGTACCTTTGGTGTGCCAGGTAGAAAATGATGAGAGAACGTACCAGTACAACAAAGACATAATACTAGCACTTTAAGTGGTCTGCGACAGATATTGATCAGTTGACCATCAATATAACGCACTCCTTCGAAATTAATGGCTAATGCTTGTCATCTTGATCGGATATGTCATGCCTCTAGCTACACCTGGACAGCTTGCGAGTTGATTGCACTATAGCATATCCGCCTTTCGGAGGTTCCTTTGCTAAAGGAAAGCTATAGACCTTTCCGAAAAACGCTTCCCTGGGCGTCGCCATAGTTTTCTTTGAGCTGCGAAAATTGGCGTTGCATCTCAAAAATGCACTGATAAGGCTGCGCCCTTAGCCTTTGTACTCCAACCCGCAGCCCATCACGGCTGTGTTTTCTCCCTCCTGTGAAAAGGAGTATAGTAACAGTGCTGCCGCAAATATTCCAAAAATTATGGTTGGTAGAAAGGGAGGCCTGCCGATGGTGCGCGCTTACGCAAGAGATTTTCTGCGTATCAGCGTTGACCCGACGCTCCTGTTCGCGGAACGTTTATTATAAGCGCGTAAACAACCATAGTATGCCCGTTCGGTTCGTTGGTTCGCAATTTACAGTGTTTACATGATGATATTCAGGAGTACAATTCGACAAAGGAAAAGGAACTCGTGAACTGGCTTCGGCGATATCGTGGCCCGTTCCATAGAATTTGCATTTGGGAGTATTTACTTTCAGAAATAAAAAGAACGAAGTGAACCAAGCCTAAATGCATATCTGCCAGCATTTTTATTGCTATAGTGAATCTCGTTAGACCTATAAGCGACGCAAGCTGTGTTTCTTCTGAATTCTCGGGAAGTGCGACGTGCAGAAAATTTGAAAGATAAGCTGGCTGTTTCGAGTTATTCAATAATAAAAAAACTATGCATCGTTGATTCAGCTTCGGCGAATCGTACTATCAACACACTTATTCGATGTCCTATAGGCCAAAAGACACGACGAAATCAAACTTTGTTTGCTGCTGCTGATTGCTCAGTCGCAAATGCTGGCAGGAGTTGACAGAAGATTAAATTTGTCGTCAAATAGCACTCTGGCCTCTTTCAGTTTTCGTTAGATATCGCAATCCTGAATTTTCGCATTGTGTTTTGCACTAGCTATTACATCCCCATGAACAAACCTCCTCATGTGGTCGTTGCTTTGTTCCGTATTTCATTACAAGTTTCATGCAGAGTGTTATTTGTCTCTTCCCGATTAGCTCGACCAGACAGCCGCCCAACGGAATGGAGCCTTGTCATCGAAGCAACAGTCAATACCAATGGAATGACAAACAGCAGCCGGACGCTACTCGTTGTGCGGCTACTGTCGGAAGAACAACGATCCAAAGCATGCACATCCATGCGAAAGATTTGCTTCGGCTCAGAAGATGGCCTCCGATTTGAATATTCTATCCACGAAGTCGCCAGTGCGGGGACTGTCCTCGACTTCGTTAGGCCGCCGGCCACGCGAGCCCTCTGCCCGGATTTGGAGCCGACGTACGTCCTGCGTCAAGGTCAGTGAGCTCTTGCGCAAGCCAGATTCAAGAAAATAAAAGATGGCGTTCTTAAGACCCCTTGATCTTATACTTTGTAGCTTATTATACTTTGAATCTGATGTGACAGTCGTTACTGTAAATGCAGATGGTTAATTGATTATGGACAAAAAAAGCTTTATGCCCTACTTTCTTGCGTTTTAGAACCTTAGCATCGTAAATAAATAAATAAATAAATAATAAATAAATAAATAAATTGCCTCCGCATCGCTGCACGTGACCGGAGTGGGAGCTCAGATTAGGACACTTGTAAGCGACACAAAGTGTTTGCTTAGATTTTAGCCGAGTAGCATCGACAGAAAGACTAGAAAACAGAATTCGTAACCCGAGCTTTGAACACCACTTCTTTTCCTATGCTGCTCTTGTAGCCATATCACTCCCGCCACAACAACACACGTTTGTTGGTTGTTTTGTAGCATTACTGGCTGATGCTAGTGCCTACTCTTGACAGAAAACTGTTAAAAGAAACTATTCGTGTACGAAATTGTGTTTATCGAATCGGCTTTACTTCAAAGCAAAGTGATTTATTGTGCACAAACGAAGGGAAATAAGGGCTCGCTTTATTGAACGCTAACACACAGTAAAGCTAAGAAAGGTAGCAGTAAGCTATTTGCAATATTTTAAGTGTAATGTAGTACTTATGACATAAATGTGAAGACATTAAAGTGGGCGAGAAGACAACTTGCAAAAAAAAAAAACCGCAAAACATCTCAGCCTAGTAGTTTTAGTAATAGAAAAGCTCAGCCAAAGCAGGGCATAATAGCGAAGGCTGCCTTCCAGTGGCGTGGTGCGCTTATGAAAGAAAAGCTTCATAAATTCGCTCTCTAGTGCCTTCGAGATTATACCGCGTTTTACCCCATCAGCATAAGTTAATAAATAAATAAATAAACACACACACACACACCATATATATATATATATATATATATATATATATATATATATATATATATATATATATATATATATATATATATATATATATATATATATATATATAAATATATATATATATATATATATATATATATATATATATATATATATATATATATATAACTAAATAAATAAATAAATAAACCACTTCAATGAGCGGAGGGAAAGGGAAGAAAAGCTAAAGCGCCTATGTGCTTGACTAGGGTTGCCATTTATTACAGTTCAACAGCACGTAGCGGTGGTGCAACCTGCGCACATAAACATTAGTGTAAAAAAAGAACATAGACACGAGAAAAGAATGAAACTTAAACTTATACGGCATAAAATGTCAAGACCATTTCACGAGAACGAAGCTTATGCTCAACAAATTATTCTTAACATTTGAGTTATGCCATTTGTGTGTGCTGTTTTTTTTTTCCGGATTTTTTCATGAGCCGTGAGGTATAAACTCAAGCGTATTCGGCCAACTTGGCCATTCATTTAAGCATCAAAATATTTTCTATTTGTATTTGTATAAAAAAACAGGGGATCAGCATTCAATCATAAGTCATCACTATTACCTTTTTTTTTTCATTGACACTAAAAAGTATTGTAATTCAACAGAAAAAAATACCACAACCTTCGAGATCGAACAATAACATGTATATTCTACAAAATAGAGGGGTAATTCTCGAACAAATTCTGAATAAATTTGATAACAGGAACAATTTCATTTTTACAGGCTTTTGATTGTTTTCATGCCCTAAGTACAGAGGTGTAAAGTGAAAGCGCAAGAAATATTTTGTTCTGATTTTCGTAGATGCTGACAAATGGCTGGACTTCGATAGGGGCACCGGCCAGCTACGCTTGACGCGGCCTGTGTTGTGGAGCGAGTCACCGCCAGCCGCGAGCTCCGTGGTGACGGCCAGGCTTGAATGTTCAGTTAAGGGTCAACCAAGCGAGACAGCCAAAGTGCTGCTTCAGGTGAAGGACTTGGATGATCAGCCACCGAGGGCACAAAGGGAGAGCGACCTTATCTGCCGAACGTCAGTCAGAACTCTTGAAAAGGTACGCTACGTGGAGAGTTCGTATGCAATTCTTACCAATTAAGTACGTGTCTACACAGGAGATGCTGACATCATTGCTAGCGGTGGCTACGTTATTTTGCTTGTTACAAATAATACCATACATACAACCGCTTTGAAGAACGAAGTATACATTAAAGCACAGCGAAATTAAAGGGAGAATCATAGAACATGCAAGTGGGCCCGGAACGTTCTAGCAATGTTTAGAATGCGTGATTAATTCCAAGCCCCATTTATGACTTCGCGGTGACCCGCGTGTGTGTTGTAGCGATTTGTCCAACCATTATGCGCAGAGCTAGAGGTGAATGTTTAACGCAATACCCTTAAAGAGCTCCTTTTTCAGAAATCCCGCTGTTGTCATGATTGCCAGCGTCGTTGGCTGTTAACGAAATATCATCTTGCCCATGACCACAAAATCAAAAAATATGAAAATAAAATAAATACTAAAAAGTTTATTATTCAAGTGCCAGGCTGTCTGCTGTGTAGTGTAAGGTGTCTCCTTAGCGCATGTAGTATTGCCGAGGCAGAAGCATGGAACTGCACCACGCGTAAAAAGATGACACTTGCGCAAGGAGTGGGTTTTTTAATGGCCCACCTCTTTCAAAGCACTCAGACACATTGAATCCTCATCATCAGCAATAGCATTAACACAATGAACAGCGACATATTGCCTCACGGACACGGTTTGTGCCCTTCGCTAATTACCAAAACAAATAATTCTGGCGCAATGCTATGGGCTCCCAAGAACTGTTCTTGCAGTATAGCATTCTATGATGCTTGAGAATGGCCAACGTTACGTGCATAGTCATTCGATTCCTTACAGTGCTGTGGAGGCATGCACCGGCAAATGAAGGGAGGCTAGCGATTGAGAAGGTGATGCACCCAAGACTCGAGAACACTGTCGTGCTCCACTCTTGAATGTCAAACCTATGGGCATCCTCCAAGTTTCTGCTCAACACGAAACATGCTTACCTTGCAATTTCGCAGAAAACAAAACAAATTCAGGACAGCTTCAGCTTTGCCTTGAAGAGTAGAATGCGACAGTGTTGTCGGGCCTTACGCATCGCCTTCTAAAGCTAGCTTCAGGAAAGTGTGAAGGAAATGAATCCAGTGTTTTCAATCTTTACGAACGTGTGCGAGCACGACAAAACTCACAAGTATCTTGTGGTATAAAATTGAGCAGTCTAGCCACTGCACCCGGGCCGTGAAAATTTAATATTAGCACTAAGTTTTTTTCATTTCATTCATTCATTCCACTAAGTTGTGAGAGAGGTAAATTTTTTTTCTTCCTAAAATGAAGCAACCCGAACATGTAGTGTTAAAAGAAATAGTATTTCGGAAAAAATGTAAAAATGTGTGAATCGTATTTTTTTAATATTCATATGTATAATGTATCGAAGAGTTTTCGTACCTACGACAAAACTGAAAAAAAAAAAGCGATGTGTCTGCATAAAATCGCACTTGTCATCGCACGCTCAACGATTGACCCAGCCACAACCAGTCTTCACTTTCAGCTGAAGTAGCTCTACTTTGCACAATGCATATTGATTTCGCCTCTCATAGTTGTGCTATTTAGTGAGTACCTCAGGACTATTGTAATGGCCGACAATGCTCTCGGCAGTGCCTGTAGCTGTAAAGGAGCTCTACGCCACACCCTGTGTGACTGTCCGATGTATAATGTGCAGAGACAGTCACAGGCATCCTTTAAAATGCCTTAGTAATGCCTGTTGAGCCCCTCTTAGGATGTCGTCAACAAAGGACATTACAGTTGAAGGCGGTCAAGGAGCTGCTGAGGGTTTTGAAAAGAAAAAAAAAACGAACCTGAATAAGTGGCTGTGATAGTGATGTCGTGTTTGCTCGCTAGGTTGACGGACCCCTACTGACTAGGTGCTTGTGCACGTGCTACGTGATGTGGTATCTTTCTACCTCTCTCCTCTTTCCCTCCTCTTTTTTCAATCTCCCCATCTCATTCTCACGCAGGATAGCAAACCGGTTATTCCTGGCTATTTGACCTACCTACCTTTCCTCCTTTATGATTCTTTCTCTCTCTCTCTCTGAGGTTGATGTGATGACCAAGATAGCGCCGTTTGCTCTACTTGTTCCTTGAATGTAATTATAATGACTGCTGGGGTTTAACGTACCAAAACAATTTGATGAGAGATGCTGTAGTGAAAAGCCTTGAAAGTTTTGTGCACCTGGCACTTTTTAATGTGCACCTAATTCTAAAGGTGCCCTGAAACACTTTTTCAAGTAACCATGGAATGAATTCAGTGAAAGAGCTTATTGCCTCACGAATTCAACGCCGCAAAATTGCTAAGAATCCGTTTAGCGCGAGAGGAGTTGAAAAGGTTTGTCGCATGCTGCAATTGCATTCTCTCTTCGCTCGTCCCAACGAAAGCGCTGGAAGCTAAACAGGGAGAGATGGCATGCCCACAGAAAAATGTCACGCGCACTTCGTGGCCTTGAGCACTTTTTTTTTCTTTGACTGCACGGCTTTTTCAGAGAGATGGCGTGCTCACGCGTGGACAAATAGCGGCCTCCCGCGGCAATCTCTGTAACAAGTGAGCGCGCCATGTTCAAATCAGCCAGCGGATAATATGTGGGTCCTTGACGTGTGATTTTTGGCATATAACGTGATTTGTGCAGAAAAGAGAAAGCAATTTTAGCGCACTTTGATAATTTATTGTGAATTCCAGGTCACGTGCTGTGCTACAATATTTGGCTCCCGTGTTGTCGGGAGCCTCTACTACCGATCAGCTGCGTTTACTGACCATGCTCAAAAAGTGTTGCAGGGCCCCTCTAGGCCTCAGGCGTTTTCGCCTCTGTCGAAGATGTGACTGCTGCGGCCGGGATTCGATTTCACGTCCTTCGGGTCAGGAGTGGAACACCACAACCACTAGACCACCGTGACGGGTGTCCCTCAAATGTTTGGCTGCAGTTTTTCATTACACTTATCTGACTGGTCATCAAGGGTTGCTTTTGCATAAGGAATATGTTATATAAGAAATCATAAATTGAGCTGAGTAAGTTACATCCCATTAAGACACCTGATATTTTACAACTGTGCAGGGCGAGAAACTAGGGTGTACAATAACAGTGCGAGACCGAGACTCAATGGATGCCAACAGCTTGAAAGTCCGATTGGAACAAGATACTCGAGACCTGTTCGAGCTTGTGAATCCGTTGTACCAGACTTTTATTACAGACAAGAAGATGACATTCCTTAACGCAGGTAAGCAAGAAAAAGGGACTTGCTCTTATGCTTTCAATTTCTTGCCTATACGGGAGCAGAATGTCTGAAAGGCGCTAACGGGTTTTGTGCTGTACAAGGTGTATAATCTGTACATTGCATACTTAGTAGTTATGTCTCAATAACAATTTCGAGAAGTTATTCATAGTGCTAGCCACACATCTTTCTATATGAACGATATGATTTAGATGTCGAACAAGAAGGTTAAAACCATAAACACCAAGTTTACATGATGGTCACAAGATAAAAACCATAAATCGATCAAGCTATTCCTACTATACGAACATTTATGAAAGGCTGTTCACATATTTGATATAAGCACCTTCGCTGTATATATTACCTAGATCATACGATTTTCATTGTACCGTAGAAGACAGCTGTTTTAGCAACATGTGCTTTCGCTGAGAACCATTTCTCTCACTTCTCACACGGTTCATTCGAAAGTACTGTCTTTCATCGCAAATAGTTAAAAATATGGGGTGCCTACTGGCTAGGGGTGCGAAATCTTGGGAAACAGTAGAGCTGTTCACCTCACCTTCCTCTTTATTTTCATGTCCTAGCCATCGGTTCTCTCTCCAACCACTTACTATCCTCGACAAAATCATGCTATGCTTCAACTACTCATTCTCACTTATAATTCCTATATCTTGCCATATTAGGCTCTACAAAGCCATGCTATGCTTTTTTTTTTCACTTTCTGTTTCTTTATGTCCTTCACTGTTTCCCTGTTCCTATTATTTCATTGTCTCTCTCTGTTTCTTCCTCCCTCCATGTTTCTCTATCCCTGCATCTTTTAACGTCTTCTCACCCAATCATATGGTTCAATCAACGAATTCATGTTGTTCGCACTTTAATTGAAGTGGGGCACAGCTGTGCGAATTGGTTACTAAGTGACACCATAGCCTGCAAGCATCATTTCTGGCCTACGCAATGTGAACAAACAAAATACTTTAACAGCCCCGCTTTTAAAACTCCGTTTAACGTAACCACCATTTAACTTAGGAGGCCCTTTAGAAAGACCAGTTTTTGCGAGGCAGCTTCCCTTTAACCGTATAACAAGAATATTGCCTGCAAATATTTTCGGAGATTAACTCGTGACTGTGTCCACGTGCGCTGCTTCAAGTAAAACCAGCTAACCACAGACTCGAGTATTGCGCCAGGAAGCGACTTTTGCATTTGACAATTTATGCATATATTTAACACTACAAAACCATTGTTTATAGGGAACTCCTTGCATGTATTTCGGAGATTAGATAAGGCATTACTGTAACAGTCGAGATAAGCATTGCGTGCCTCATATTGAAATCCTTGTGGAAATGACTGTGTCTTATCCGACAGATTGTGAATGCCAGATTAAATGTTGGATGATTCCTTGTTTGTGTGCAAAAAAAAACAACGTTGGGATGCATCTCCATGTTTTACGCTATGGTGAACATTCTTCCATATTTATAACTTATCAGTAGCCAATGCTCCTGCATTTCTTTTTTGACCTAATGATGGGCTGCAAGCTATTTGGGCTGCCAGAAAACCAGTAATTTTTTGGATCCAGGAAAGTTTCATATATACTTCTGTGGAACAAATGCAAAACGCAGAGATTGCCGTCCGGAGCACTGCTGCCTCGTTTCCAGGAGACAAGTACATCTTTGCGGTCACCGTAGAGGACACCAGTCTTGTGCGCAGTGACGTACCTCGCAAGGTAAAGACACGGCACTTCTTATCTGTCAATACAGCTTGTTGCATAAGTTTTTGATCAAGGTACTTGCAACAGGATCTTGAATTTGTCACTACCGAAGCAATATCTACAAAAAAATTCTCTGCGTTTTTGCCATGCACGCTGCATGCTGTTACAAAGTAACGTTTTGAACATTAAGCGCTAAGAGCTATGAGCTATATTTGCTTTGTCTTTTTTTTGAGGGGGGATAACTTTTGCATTCTTTTGGTTTGTTTGGCCACTATTAGGCACCAGTGACGTGACTAGAACAGGTACGCCTTCTTTTGTCATGCCGTGTGCATATTTGTCTGTGAAATATAAATTTCAATGCGGGCGTGAATGGATGCGATCCGTGTCATAGTATGAACTTTACTGATCACCCAGCACTTGCTGCTCTTTATGCAAGCATAGTGAAACCACCAAGGAGACGCTAAGCGTAGTTCACATATCAGTGAACACATTTAAGTCTATTTTATGCCTAGGAGCTATCAGCTGGCCTTTTCGTAAATTTAACTGACAAGTACGACTGTCGATAAGGGTAACTAGAGATGTTATAATAATATGTCAGGTTAAATGTGTCTGTAAGAACAAATTGTGCGCAATTTTATTGATCATTATAAACAAAAGAGGCTGGCGAATGCTAAGGGGAACGTTAGAATGAAAAGCTTTCTAAATATATTCGTCACTTTTCCTAATTTGCAATGTTTCCTTTGAGGATTACAAAAAAAAAGGGGGGGGGACTATAATACGAAAAAAAAAAGCGTTTGCCATCCAGCAACGGTATTCTACATAAGAGCAGGTTTAAAGATCATGGAAGCCACATCTCTTTTGTAGTTTATTAGTTTTTTCGAACTCTTTAAAATGTTTTATAAAGAACATGACAGGACTTCAAGTTCATAGTACGAAGACGTAACTGCGCAAGGTGTCACTAAAACGCGCCTTATCTGACATCTCTGTCGACTTCATGTGTAATTTGCGGATATTTCTGGTATACATTACGTGTCACATTGGTGCTTCCTGCTTATTGAAAATTATACGTGTGTTCTTGCGAAAACGAGTCATATTTTTTATGTGGATGCTACTGAAGAAAGTCTGTAAAGCATTTCTCTCACATGAAAAAAAAAATGTTGCCTATCAAGCGCGCGCTTGAAGACTAATACGCGTTTATTCGTCAGTGTGTGAATTTGTGTTAAAATAAAATGTGAAGAATAAAGCAGCCATATTATACAGGGCGTCCCACGTAACTTTAGCCAGAATTTAAAAATATGCCGGAACACGTAATTACGATGTGACCAAATGCATGGTGCTCACCATTGCCTGGAGCTAGTCCGACTATTTTTTGTGTTCTCAAATATTTTTTAATTATATCTGTTTAATGAACTAACTTTTGAAGGAACGAAGATGAATAAAAATCTTCAATGAAAAAGTTGTAGATTGGTTTGCAAAACGTCCAAATAGATAATTTTAAATTTTATATCTGTGAAGTATTAGTGTTTTCATGCTAACTACAAATGCCATAAAATACAAAAAATACCACGTGGCAAACCCGGTCACGCTTCAGTGCGCACGATGATTCTAGTGCTCCCTAGCGTTCCGCGTACGAACGACACGCTTCCCTCGCACCAGTTCATGACATCGATAAGCAGTCACAGCGCTTATCATTTTTGTGGCCGATAGCATAACGTGTTCATCGTAAAGCCACCACCATCGTTACGGCCCTGCTGAGACCGCACAATGGGGCAAATGCTATGGTTGTTTGTACGCGGAACGTTAGGCAGCATTATATTCATTGTCTGCGCTGAAAAACAACAACAGAAAAACAACAACGAACAAGTCACATGCAAAATATCTAAAAATGACAATGAAATCTTTGGGAAATTATATAATTACGTAGGCATATACTCGTATTCTCGATGCCTATGGGAAAGGCTCGACCTACCTCCAGTGCAGTAGACTTCAGTAATGGCCCAAGCACCACTGTCACCGAGAAAAGAATTTATTAATATCCACTTGTTTGAAGTAGAGGGTCACGTAAGTACAATAATTATTAAGTTTGACGGGAAAAGTTCAATTTTAAGATCCAGTTCAGTTCACTTGACTCTCCTTGAATAACAGAGTTGCACGCTGTATACTGAGTGTTGGATTAAATTCAAATTTTCAGTTATATAAATATTTCTACCTACTTCCCGTTGTGAAAAGTAGCCACATTTTTCTAGTGTCCTGTGTAATAGTCATTACAATTGTGCACTCAATCTAGCTATAGTGTTGGCAGCCAGAGACAATAATTATTTTACATATAGTTGCAAGGCTCTAACAAAGAAGGCAGAAGTGTCACCTCAAGTGGACCTGACTGTAGATTGCCTAATTGTTTCTCTCACATGCCCCGATTAAAAAGGAAATATGACAATTAATGAATTTTTTTTCGCACATTTAAAGAAGCGGTTTTCACTCATTACGCACTTATTTGGTGTTTTAAAAGAATTTGACTGCCATTCTTTGTAACGCAAAACATAATAAATGTTCTTTGTTTGCAGGTGACTTTCCAAATCGAGATATCCAACAGCACCACGCTGAGGACCCCGCTCACGCTTAAAGACACATACAACGTTTCTATATCAAGAAACGCAACAACGTTTGCAAGGGTAAATATTTGACAGGACGTTGTGACGTCATTCTTTCCTGAACTGCCGTACCAGTTTTTTGTGAAATCTTGTTAATATTAGTGCCTGTGGTCACGTGATCCTATGCATTAAGGGTCAATAAATCGCAAGTCGGAACCAAGTGTTGCTTTTTTTGCCAAAAAAGTTTTTTTTCATTCTCCAAGCGGGAAGACAAACGAAATCACATGCCTAAATCTGTAATCATATGAAAGTTACAACGTCAGGCAAAGCTTCAGTGTCAGGTTTATAAAAAGAATTTAAAAGTAGCATATTTTATTTTATTCTTGCAATGTAATTAAAAATATTGTCATTCCCACTACGATAGCTTTCTTTAACTCTGGCCAAACTCTTGGTGTCTTCAACTAGATTTCATTACTACCATATATTTAAAACCTACAGGATGTTACTTGAATGCATCCAGGTGGCAAATGCAGCAATATGCAGATTGGTGAAACACCCATTTTTGCTACCCATTGGAGAGCATGGCGAAGCCTGATTCAGTGGAGAAGTGGAAGAGAAAGAAATGACTCCCTTTTCCAGAAATCAGTTCACACATCACTAAGTGCCAGGTATCTCTACTAATTAGAAAAGCCAGTGGGTGCGGCACTGGGAATCAACCCGAGGCCCACCGCACTACGCTAGATTTTTGGACACGGCACTTAGGATATAAATAATTCCAAGATGTCGTGAATATCAATGTGGACTTCCTTTGAACGAAATTGCCAAGAAGCTAAGATACAGGAAAAAGTGTCTGTAACGACGGTCGCTAATGTTACCTTAAAAAAACAGAAAATGTCGCTTGCTCATAAGTTAAGCTCCACGTCCTTTGCAAAAGTAAAGGACGTATTACTTGACTGAATCATTATAGCCCCCTTTTACATGAACTACGAATAATGTTGAAAAATTACGCCATCTGCCACTGGAGGGAAGTACGTGTTGATGCGAAGCAGCGGGCGCTAACGCTTACACTGGCGGTGACATTCGCGCTGGCGCTCATTGCAGCGTTGCGCAAGAGAGAAACCTGGGGAGGCGCAAAGCACGCATTGTTGTACCTGTGTTTCCTACGGGAATATGCCAATTTGTAATGGGCAGTAAGAGACAGAAGGCTTCAATCGCACACAGAGACCCGCAGTCCGGTTATAGTTAACATGTAGGCTGCGAATTTTTATTTTTCAAGAACACGCAGCAGAAATCTCCCAGCGGCACCATCTTGGAGGTCAGGATCCAGATGCTATATATACGGCGGGGCCAGTGAATGGTTGTGCAGCACGAGCAGTCATTTTTTTTTTTCAATCAAGAAACTTTCTAGCAGACGCTGCTTGCGTCGCCGTTGATGTGATAAAAGGGGAGGGTAGAAAATGAGGAGAGGGGGTTGGGACGCATATATGCACTGGTGTAAATTCCGTGAGGAGGTATGAATGCCTAGAGGAGATACGGGGGAGCTAGCGTAGGCTAGCAGACACTGTGTGCATCGGCGTTGCGAGGCGAGATTGTGGAACGTAGGAGAAAAGAGAGAGGGTAGGGGACATGCATGCACAATGGCGTGTCAACGCCGCTGAGAGGGATGCCTAGAGAAGAGGTGGGAGAGCTCAAAGAGCTGGCAGGAGAGAGGTGAAAAGAGTAACGCGCAGATGTTGGAGAGAGAAAGGGGGAGAGTTGCGCATGTTTTACTGTGAGTGCGGGCGCCGACGCCACGGGCTATAGAACCGAGCAAGAGATGCTTCGCATCCAAATTTTGTTTAATAAATTTTAGTAAACTTCCAGTTTTTAGCCTTGCTGTTCCAAATATGCATAGAGCATAGAGAGAACTTAGCTTTAGGATTTCTTGGTAGAGGGGTGAAGATATCTCATGACTACCTCAGATCACGAAAAAAGAATGTGAAGCAAGCGTGAAACGTGATCTTGATTTGAGTGCTCACGTAACCTAAGATGAATGCAGTGTGTTGCGGCTGCAATCAAACCCACATTTTTGAGCTCAGCAGCAAAGGGATGCGTCGTAACTACTCCATAGCAGCGAGCAAATTCGCACTTAAAACGAAATCCAGGAGTAGCCAGGAAATCAAGTAACATTCGCAAAGATAGCGGCTATAAGAAGGTCCGCATGTGGATTGTTGCTGTTGTAATTACGTTTTGTAGATTCCACCCTTAAAATGCTGTGTTTTATTGTAAGTCAGAGTGTCATTGTTGCTGATTACCTCAATATGGCTGTAGGATTGACAAGGTCGAGATTTTGTTGCAATGTTTGTTTAAATCACTGGTGCGAGTTCGTGTGCTCGAAAAGTCTTATAGTGTGGCTACAAAGTTTCTTCACTGAACCTGTGATCTCTAATCTCTAATGCTTGTGCTCTGCTGACTCTTTAGTGAAGTGCAAACACGAATCAGCTATTCTCATTCGTTGCTAGATAAGTGCTGCGGCATTGTCACAGGCTGTGTCGATCAGTAAGGCAGACTAACTGTGCTGAAGTGTTCTGCCAATAGGTGAGATAAGATAGTTTGCAGTGGCCAGGGGGCTCCGTTTATCAAATGCTGATTGCCTAGAGAAGAGGTAGGCAACTTTTTGAAGCCGAAAGATGATTTTCATGAAGCCGAGCCGACGGGAACCGCTTGGCAAATTGAGACTAGGGGGAGTTCTGTATACATAAGAAAAAAATTGGCAAATTAAAATGAACGACATTGTAAAAAAGAAATAGAAATTCAGTTTAATTTTAGTACTTGTGTGAAAGGTTTGAGATTACAAACATAGCTTACAAGCGAAATCCCCATTTGAAAGGAGAGGAAAACTGCCATCTGGCCTTCAGATAATAAGCGGCGAAGGAAAGAGAAAGGCATGTGACGTAGTGCTGCAGGGTTGCATAGGACTTTTACGCAGGCCGCATGCACTCCAGGCCTAGAAAATTGTTGTGACATGTCAATATTTGCAGTGACTAAGTCAGCTGATTACTTTTTTCGTGTCGTTGTGTGCTTTCAAATCCAAAGAATTAGGCATCTATGATACACTGAGAAAAATAAATGCGCCGCTTCTTTAGGAATGTGGTACTAACTGCTAAAATATTTTTTTTAATATTCGTTTACAATTAATTTTGTAATGTAGAGAGTGTTATTGATTTGTCTGAGTGTGCGCGGGGGTTTCGCATACATGTCTGCAAATTATTGTGCTTACCTGCTGCGATACCAGTGTATAGATACAGGCAGGTGTAAGGTGGCCCTTTTCTTAGCTTTCTAAATGCTACAATGAAACATTGGTCAGGCAATACCAATATGCGTGTCTACAAATAAAAAAAAGCGAGCACACATATGAAGAGCAAGATACTAGCTACTATATGTCCCAACATAGCCAAAATCTGGCGTTGATTGACACCATCCCCAGTGTACGTACAAGATGGCGCATTGCTGCAAGCATGGTTACATGAACACTTCAAAGATTTCAATTTTTCCGCCACTTTGGCACAGCGGTTAGGGCGCTTGACTGACGACCTGAAAGGCACTGGTTTTATGTAGCTTCAGTGGTCACATTTGATGGAAGGGAAATGCTAGATGTTCACGTACTGTGTGGTGTCATTACCGCAGCTGTTCGAGACTATCCGCAGCCATCCACTACGGGGTCTTTCAAGCTCTAGTTGCTTCAGGAGGTTCCCATAAACTCATTCTGATTCAGTCCAGCTTACCCAGGGACACGTCGATATTGTTCGAAAAGTGCAATAATTATTTACCACAGCGATGTATTGCTTGTCCTTAAAGCATCTAGAACAAACAACTATCGTAGTAGAAGCTTTGCTGACGCGATTGCTTACATGGTTTCTCACCGTTCACTCAGCAAACAAACTCGTGAAAAGATAATATCCCATATTTACACCTTGTTGACGTGCGTAGTTATCTATTGGTAAAGTACTTCGCAATCCATTTTCTTGACTAAAGACAAATGCATCAGCTGAAACCGCCAGCGCACGTGTGTAAGCGTATACCACCTGCTACATAGACCTAAATGCTCTATTATGATCTCTGACCGCTAGGTGGAGTATTGGCTTTATTCATTCGAGAATAGACCATGCTGGTTTGCTAACGTCAGCAGGATGAAAACGCGATCACAGTTTTCCCTCATTGCTGTTATATGGACGGACAATTTTGTGGTGGTTGATTTGATTGATATGTCAGATTTAACATCCCAAAACCACCATATGATTATGAGAGATGCTGTAGTGGAGGACTCCGGAAATTTCAACCACCTCGGGTTCTTTAACGTGCACCCAAATCTGAGCACACTGGTCTACAACATTTCCGCCTCCATCGGAAATGCAGCCGAGTACCTTAGCCACTAGACTATACCGCGGCGGGGCACTTTATTAGTCGTAGCGGGTTGCTTATAGCGCTCAACTTCAATAGCTCCATGGTTTGAATTTGTTTAGCCTGTCCCTTCTCAATGTGCGCTTGTGTTACTCGAGCCAGTCTAAGCTTTATTGGAATTCCCTGGCAGACAGTGTTCAGTTATGTATGTTTCATATAGATAAAAAAAGGGAAGCAACGACTGTATCTATAGATGTGACAAAAAGATCCACCAAGATGAATTCTACATGGGAGAAATATAAATAAAAAGTCAATTCATTTATTGTTACAGCAGATAAGAGAGAAGTAGCAGCTAAAGAAGAAAATTTACATCATTTTAAGCAAACAGGAAAAACTGCAGCATCACAGGAATACCGGCTGCACCATTAGTCAAGGGATCAAGACCATGATAATTCCACCTTGTTAATTTAGCTCTTGTTCATTTAAAAGTTTAATTATTACTAAGCTAATTAGTATCAGATTACTTCGAATTATAGTTAAGGTTATGTCTATTATTGCATCGATAATGCCATGTTAAGTTCTTGCCCATTAAGTACATGTCAATTGAAGCAGCCAGTTAACACCTTTGTTATATAGAGGATGCTATTTGAAGCATGAGAATCACGACCACATAAAGCACGACCTGGTTGAAGAGGACCTTGCTAATTAAAGCCTTGCTGTCTTTGTTGTGCTTGCTCTGCTCTTACTTCGACCTTGGACCACTTAGGCACAGCTACCTTAACGTTTGGACAGGAAAATACGTCGAATGAAGAAGTTACTAGGCAGTGATTATTTCCTTGGGAATACATGGTGGCTATGGATAAACATGTTTTTTTTTTGGTCACCCCAGATCCTCTCACCGATGACAGCACCCGCATCAAATCACCGCTTTCGGCTCGTGTTGGATGATGGCGATGTGTTGGCCACAGCTGCGCACACGTGGCTCACGGTAACACCGCGCACGGGCATCCTCTATGTTACGGATTCCGAGAGGCTGCGTGAATTCAACCACTCCGAGACAGGTGTGCTACTTGAGGCATCGTGGGAAGAAGATGGGGAGAACGGCACCACCCGGCGTCACCTCTACCGCGTCGAAGTGCATATCCAGGAGTCTAAAGGTGGGTGAAACCATGGGTAACGTACTGGTGCTGCTAGCCACGGCAGTGATAAAGCTGAGAAACATAGTTTTGTAACAAAATGTAGCGGAGATCTAGTGCACGAAGGCACACCTAAAGTGGCGATACCTTTGTGGTGCTCGATACTACTCTCAAAAGCATGTGTTTGTGTTTTTTCACATCCTTAACCAAGGTGTTATGCTTACATGGTTATACTAAAAAATTTGTTATAACCATGCACTTGATATTAATTTTCTATTTTATAAAAAGGTCTTCCTGGTTCTTGTTGTTGTACGTTTATGAGCCTTTGTTCCCATGTGGGCGTTGGTTAACTCACTGCTTTCTTTCCATAGCATCACAAGTTGGTATAATTCGCAGAAGCAAATTGTGATTGGAATATAGCATGTCTTTATTTCAGAGTGGCTGAAGATGTGTTTGCGATGTTCATTCCCCTGTAAGCCTTACATGTTACTTCACTTTTTAAACACTATACAGATTCACTATATGGAGTTACCAACACGAGCCATTCTTTGTGCGCGCCAACCAATGCTTGTTTCATCTTGTTTTCTAATTAGCCCTCACATCGCGCACGTGGCTTAGCTTATGCGAACTTTATTTCTGAATAAAATCTCTTTTTGATTGCCTCCCCATCTTTCTTTCTCGCACACACTTCTCAGAATAAGTGAGTGACACCTTCGGAGTATAGCGGATAGTGTGCGGAGTAAATGCTTAAGGCAGCTGTTATCGCTTTGAGGGTGCATTACTAGTAAGAAGTAAAAACGTACTTAAAAGGGCACTGACACGAAAACTTTGACCTCGCGTGTTTCTGCTACAATGCGTTGCTGGAGGCCTGTTGGTCATGAAACGACACATTGCTGCAGCGCGTGACGGATAATTAATTGCAGGCCCCTTATTATCAATCACTTTCAGTGTCGGTTTGAGATAGTTCCAAAAGCTGGATGCAACTGTCGCCACCTAGCATGTGCAGCTCTTGACCACGTTAGCACACAGAACTGTGAAGCACTTCCACACGGTTCACATCAAGAATTACTTTTGAATAGGAAACGGGACTGGAATGTCACCAAACACAAAACTTTCTAAGCGTGCGCCAGGGCCACGCACTCGCAACCAGCCGCCGAGAAGTTTTGACTTCGGGAACTAACGCGGCAAATAAAAAAATGGCAGCTATGACGTCATCATAACTTGTTTTGTTGACCACAGCGTGGTGACATAAGGGAAGTAGGGATTCACCTTGGAGGTGCCCTCCGAGGATGTCTATAGCACTACGGAGTCGGCCGTCCACGCAAACGAAAAAATTAATTTAGATTACCTTCCAAGCTATATTCGCTCTTTATATCTTGCATATATACGAATATTCACGAGAATCGACCCCGCAAGCTATCTCGGTCCCGCAATTTTGTGTCAGTACCCCTTCAAAGTAAATCGCACCGTTCAGACGTGCAATCTTCGTAAATGAGCTCGACGATGGAGCCACATCAAAAGTTGACTGAAAGACACTTGGTCATTATTAGCTCGCAAATCACAGCACCTAACAATGCAAATAAATATTGTTATCACATTCATTACATAGTTAAACACCATTGTTTTTCAAAGTTTGGTAGCCCAATTAGTAAAGATAATGACTCATGCATAGCAGACAACATGTGTGGTACTTCGGAGCGTTCGTGTACGGATGGCATTCGCTTGTAACTTGAATAACTCACAAAAATTATCAGCAACTAGCTCCTCTTTGTGTTCTGCGGACCATAATAAAGTTAATTCAACAACAACAACAACAACAATAACAAGAACGCGCTTTCTCGTTAGACAGATTTACAGTGACACCGATTCTGTTGAAAGGAGCGATCCACTCGAGCTTCAAGAATCAGAAGTCACCGACGTTCTCTCGCTTTGCCGTCTTCTCAGTCTTTTCTACGCCCCGCCGCGGTGGTCTAGTGGCTAAGGTACTCGGCTGCTGACCCGCAGGTCGCGGTTTCGAATCCCGGCTGCGGCGGCTGCATTTCCGATGAAGGCGGAAATGTTGTAGGCCGGTGTGCTCAGATTTGGGTGCACGTTAAAGAACCCCAGGTGGTCTAAATTTCCGGAGCCCTCCACTACGGCGTCTCTCATAATCATATGGTGGTTTCGGGACGTTAAACCCTACATATCAATCAATCAATCAGTCTCTTCTACGTGCAGCTTTTCTTGCCGACAACTGGCCAGGCTGTACACGATGCTCTGCTTGTCTCTTGTTATTCCGTCCGAATGGCGGATTATTAGGAGTGCATAGCGATGCTTGCTGCATGTTGTTGTCGGTGCATGTCGTGCATACTACATATAAGAGAAATAGAGTTACAGCTGTTCATTCATCGTTTACAGCAATCGCTTCAATTCAGAAAGTGTTGGCTCGAACCCCGAAAAATTATTATTGTCGGGACCTGTATGCAAAATAATTGTTTTAGCCCACACATTTGTGGAGCAGTACGCACCGCATATAACTTCAAGGCATGGATGTAAATGCCACCAAAATGCGTTCCAGAAAAACATTGTAATAGACCTAACTTAGCTATAACTATAAAATCTATAACTATTGAACAAGTAATTTTATTTATAAATTCAGGAGCCATTCAGTCCTCGTAGACAACCTATTTTTGTCATTATATGCGAAGCTTTTATTAGCAAACTTTAGCGACAGTGTCTATCTATCTATCTATCTATCTGTCTATCTATTTACGACTTATAGTTCTTCTGGTCGCTTCAATAAAGGTATTGATACCAAAAAGGTGTGGCATAACATGACTGATTGATTTGATATGTTTAACGTCCCAAAACCACCATATCAATATGAGAGACACCGTAGTGGAGGGCTCCGGAAATTTCGACCGCCTGGAGTTGTTTAACGTGCACCCAAATCTGAGCACACTGGCCTATAACATTTCCACCTCCATCGTAAATGCAGCCGCCGCAGCCGGGATTTGATCCCGCGACCTGCGGGTCAGCAGCCAAGTACCTTAGCCACTAGACTACCGTGGCGGGGCGGCATAACATGACTAGGAGGAGCGTACGTGAGTAGTCATAACATGAAAATCATGACACGTATGTCATGATTGCCCCAATTTATATTTCAAAGATTTGCTGCTCTTGCGGTGATTACGTTCACATGATACATTGCAAAACAAATATGGCATGACATGTATTCATGGGGAACACAAGTGACAGACCCTAACGTGGATATTACGACATGCATGTCATGTAAACCATGACTACACGCCACGCTCATGGTGCGCTTGTGGCCGTTTCGCGAGCTTCACATACACCAAATTTGGTACAGCGAGACCTCAATGAATGATGAAGGTATATAACTGGCAAAAACATCATAATCATGAGATGCATGTGATGTAAAAATTTAATGTCACGCTCATGATGTGCTCACAGCTGTTTTGCTAGCTTTGCATATACCAAATTTGGTATTAGAGAACATGAGTTGACAATGAAGGTAAATGACATGTCAAAAACATAATATTCATGACATGCGCATCATGGAAAACATGACTATATGTTAGGTTTATAGTGCGCTCATGGTCATTTTGCCAGCTTCGCATATACCAAATTTTTGTTCCATGATGTCAAGGGAGGACGAAGGTAAAAGACACGTCCAAACATGCTAGTCTTGTCTTGCATGTCGTCTAACAACGTGACTAGATACCACACTCATGCTGCGCTCACGACCGTTTCGCTAGCTTCACATATACCAAATCTGGTATTAAGTCATGTAATTGGATGATGAAGAAATATGACTAGTGCAAACATAATAATTATGAGATGCGTGTCACGTAAGAACATGACTATATGCCACACTCATGATGCGCTCACAGCCGTTTCGCTAGCTTCACATATACCAAATCTGGTATTAAGTCATGTAATTGGATGATGAAAAAATGTGACTAGTGCAAACATAATAATTATGAGATGCGTGTCACGTAAGAACATAACTATATGCCACACTCATGCTGCGCTCACGACCGTTTCGCTAGCTTCACATGTACCAAATCTGGTATTAAGTCATGTAATTGGATGATGAAGAAATGTGACTAGTGCAAACATAATAATTATGAGATGCGTGTCACGTAAGAACATGACTATATGCCACACTCATGATGCGCCACTCACAGCCGTTTCGCTAACATCACATTTACCATATGTGGTATTAGGGAACGTGAATGAACGACGAAGGCAAATGAGATGTCTAAACATGATAATCAGGGCCTGCGTCTCATGTAAATCATGACTACATGCTACGCTCATAGCGTGCTCACGACTGTATCGCTAGCTTCACAATACCAACTTTGAAATTGCGTGACAGGAATTGATGACGAACATAAATGACACGTCCAAACATGGTAATCGTGGAAAGTAAGTCGCGTACAGTAAAAGTTATGTCCCCCTCGTAACCTTGTGCTGATTTTAAAGCGACATGATTACCTTCCTGATTCGTGCTTCGCATATCATCAATCTCACTGATAAATGCCCAGAACAGAACACGTCGTGAGATGTTGACAGCCATGAAAAGACCACGCATTGCATTAACATGATGATTGATTGATATGTGGGGTTTAACGTCCCAAAATCACCATATGATTACGAGTGATGCCGTAGTGGAGGGCTCCAGAAATTTTGACCACTTAGGGTTCTTTAATTTGCACCCAAATCTGAGAACGCAGGCCTACAACATTTCCGTCTCCATCGGAAATGCAGCCGCCGCAGCCGAGATTTGATCCCGCGACCTGCGGGTCAGCAGCCGAGTACCTTAGCCACTAGACCACCGCGGTGGGGCAGATTGTATTCACAGAAACAAGCACACTGTTTCTTGAACAGCCCTTCAAATCCTAAATGAACACAATATCTAAGAATAAGCCGTATACCCCACCAAGATGCATAGAAACCTCATTACCGCGCAGTGGTGGTATTGAGAGTACTAAACATTGTCGCCGTTTAATGCTTCC